TACGACGTTTTCGATTATACAGGATTTGAACGACCCAGGGTTGATCAATCACTATTTTACTATAAATGCAAGTCTTTCATTGGTGGAGAGGTTGCAATGACGTCATTAACCAATCTTGGGTCGTTCAAACCCCGTTTACTCGAAAACGCTATAAGATTAAGGGCGGTATTCATAGTCCGTTCTTATATTCAAGATCGTCTTAAGCACGAACTTATATTCGCTCTCTTTGTCAGACACAATCTATGTGTGACGAAGAGAGCGAATATAAGTCCGTGCTTAAGACAATCTTAAATATAAGAACGGACTATGAATACCGGCCTAAGACTAGGGAAGTATAAACGCCCTTATGGCATTCTACGTTATCAACTCTTAAGATTAAGATTAAGACCGAAGCATAAACCAGCCATTAGTTTTAATACAGCTCAGTACAATCCCAGTGCAACTAAAAAGAACAAACCCAATTACGAGAGAAATGCATAATAATTATGATATTTATATTCAGGACATCGATCATATAATTTTTCTCTAATAGCAGAAACGTGAAAAGTTTCACGTGAGTTCGACGAATAGAATTGTCGAATTCACATAAAAGTTTTTATTTTTTACGTTTCCGCTCCTAAGAAAAAATTATATAATTGATGCCCTGATTTGGAAAAGTAATGTTTTCTCATAATTTTTTTATATTTCTTGTATAGTTGCAAAACTCCTCACAGAGCCGATTTTACAATTTTATTCTATAAAATTTATGAAAAATACAAGTCCAAGTTGTCATCGAACTATACTCGCATTTTGTGTATTATGAAAAAAGGTAATTGTTTTTTTATCATTAAAAAAAAAATTGTTCTATAGGGAGTTGCGCTTGATTCTCCTGAATACAAATATTATAATTATTTTGCATTTATTACCATATTGGGACTGAGATATGAAAATAACGATTTCGTGTTTTATATCTATTCCAACAGAGGTGCTACTTTCACTCTTGTCGAGCCCTTCAGTAGCATAGAAGTGCGCAGATGCTGCGAATGCTTCGTCCGGTGAACGTGGTTAGTGGAGTGTATGTTATGCTGAAGAAGTACGCGCACGTTGTGGGTTCGTGGAAGTCACTGTATTCGCGATGGACGGCGGCCCGGCATTACCTGTTGCGCGGCTTGACTCGGACCGGTTTGTTTCGTTAGTTCGTCGACGCCCCTTCTAAGTGGTTTGTGGCTTCTAAAGTGGCGATTTAAAGACGAAGTAGAGGATGCATCGTCGTATTCGCGCTCATTGTTGACGTTTCTTCGTAGATGCGCATGTGTATACTGTCGTTTGCGTGACAGTGTCTAGCGGTCGCAACACGTCTCTTCATCACGCCGTTTCGCATTAAACGACGGTATAAGTAGTGGCGCGAGTTAAGCTCCGAGAATTGTGTTGTAATATTCTCTGGTGCAGAAAGAAGCGTGCGAAAGAAAAAGAGAGAAAGAGAGAGAGAGAGAGAGAGAGAAGAAGAAAGAAAGAAAAAAAAAGAAGAGAGAGAAGAAGAAGAAGAAGAAAGAAGAGAAGAGAGAGAGAGAGAGAGAGAGAGAAAGAAAGAAAGAAAGAAAGAAAGAAAAAGAGAAAGAGAGAAAGAGAGAGAGAAAAAAAGAGAGATATGGGCATCGTTCAGAGTCGCAATGACGAGAGCGATGGCGGCGTGCGCGAGGTATTCGTCGGCGGTGTCAAGGCCGGTGTGCCTCATCATTCGTGTCAATCCAGCCTGGGCATGGGTAACCTGGGACCTCACACACGCAGCGGTAGCATACGTAGCGCACCGAGACAACCGATGCCGGATGCCGTCGAACTCGAAAGACGTTTCACCAAAGTACTGGTGAGTACCTGTTTTCTTGATCAGCTTCTCGTTCTTGTTTTGTGATCATGGCTTAATTTACATCGATTGTTTAGTACGCGTACCAAATACTAAATCTGCCTCTTTGATTGGTCTGGATTTTACACTAAATGATTTATACCTATCGGAGAAGCAGATTTAGTACTTGGTACGCGTACTAAACAATCGGTGTAAACTAAGTCCATAGCAGACGATATTATTAAACTCGCAGTCTGCTCGATATATCAGCATTCGATATATTATCTTATTTTAATGAGTCTCATCTTAATAATAATTCGAAAAATATTACATGTTTACTCTTGAATGTGATTTCTACCAGAAATTAAAAATTCTCAAATTATGCACTATTGTTGATAGAACGTCATCTCAGAGAAATGCGATCAAGTGATCGTTTTAAAACTATTAAGCAAAATTTACACTACAGATTAATGCGTTTTCCAATCCTCAATTGTAATTTTTAGTGAAGTAACACATACAGTTACTATGTTTGTTTTAATCAAATTAAGTATTCTTATCAGAGAGAGAATATTTGTGTAATCGGGTGAAGTTCCGAAAAGTCCACACCTCCGATTTGCTTCAAACTACGTTTTTTATTGTATTTTTGCGCGCTAATTACGAATATGATCATGCCGATTAGCGACAAGGTCATTTTCAAAGTCAAAACTCAAAAAAACTAAAAAATTGTCACTTTTTTAAACATTATTTTGATAAATATTGATGTAACATTATTTTGATAAATATTGATGTAACATTATTTTGATAAATATTGATGTAACAAAAAAATGTTTCAAATAAAAGTTGTGTGTAGTTCTTGAAAAAATATATCATTTATGTCCTATGCATATTTTGCATAGAACCAATAATTTTCGAAAAAAATGAAATAATAGGAAAGACACTCCCCCCGCACTATGTAATGGGTTCCGCCTCCCCGGAGGGGCATCCACGCATACACTGTACAACGCGAAACGAGGTTCCACATGAATTTGCAACTTTCCATCCAAACCTATGTGTATAGTTTTTTTGATGATGGAGCGCCCCCTTCCCTCCCCCCCCCGAAGGAGGGGGCGGAATCCACGCACACTTTACAACGCATTATCTCATTTTTATCGAAAAATATTAGTTCTATGCAAAAAATGCATAGGACATAAATAATGTATTTTTTCAAAAGCTACAACTTTTATTAGAAACATTTCTTTGTTACATCAATATTTATCAAGATAATGTTAAAAGAAACGATAATTTTTGAGTTTTTTCAAGTAGTTTTTACTTTGAAAATGACCTTGTCGCCAATCGGCATGGTCATATTCGTAATCAGCGCGCAAAAATACAATAAAAAGCGTAGTTTGGAACAAATCGGAGGTGTGGGCTTTCGGAACTTTATCCGGGTGGCGGAATACACAACTTCCAGATTTTTGATAATAACGACTAAAATATTGGAGTTAGATAAAATATGTATACGACCTTATTTGTAGAGCTTTTTATGACCTTTATTTTTTGTTTCACAACTTTTTTCGTACAATGAATACTTTTTGAAATAATTAACAAAAACAGTTTTACCTTTGAGGAGGGTTGGGGTCGGAGAAGGCATTTGCGCCAAAAATCCATTTGGGAATATTATTTACTAGATAAAATAAGTATTTAGGCTGAAAATCAGCCAAATCAGAGGTGATAGCTTTTCGGAAGTTTATCCTTTGAATCAGTTCTACGACCGCATTTTAATGTGTGTGTAAAGTTGACGTATCATTTCGCGGAAACTCACAAATAATTAAAAGTTCCGGCTTTATTTTCAATAGTTCTAGAGTTCTTGATAGTTTAAACAAATAGTTCTGGCCATTAAACCAACGAAAATGCCTCAGAACAAACTGAGACGCCAACTTCACGCAGCGTCTCACTTTGTCCTACATTTTCTTTACCAATAATTGTTAAAATTTAAAAGATTTATAGTTCTACAAGAGTTCTAAGAAGAGTTCTGCCTTTTAAAAGCAAAAAAATATCAATAAATATCATGAAATAAGAACAAGCGAATCCCTATATCTATAGATATAGAGATGAGACGCCAGTCGATTTTCAAGAATTCTGTTTATTTTAAATCTGTTTTCGTATAGTTCTGGGCATGCACAATGCCTTTCCAAAGAGTTCTGATAGTTAATACAATTATTGTAAATTTTTTTAAAAATTTATTTTTGCCCCGAAAAACGTATCTTTTCGAGTATAAATATGAGACGCCAGTCGATTCTCAGGAGTCCTGTTTATTCTAAATCAGTTTTCGTATAATTCTGGGCATGCACAATACCTTTCCAAAGAGTTCTGATAGTTAAAACAATTAGAAATTAAAAAAAAAATTATTTTCTTGGAAAACGCATATTTTTTAGTATAGTGGTGAGACGCGGTCATATGTCGATGGTTGTATCGATTTTAAATAACATTTCGTGTCAATCTGTAATAACTTTTTATTTCTAAGAAGAGTTCTATGCGTAAAAGTTATTAGAATGTCGATTAATGTCTTATCTCTATATCTATAGATATAGGGATTTGCTTGTTCTTATTTCACGATATTTACTGATATATTTTTCTTTTAAAAGGCAGAACTCTTCTTAGAACTCTTGTAGAACTATAAATCTTTTAAATTCTAACAATTATTGATAAAGAAAATGTCGTAGGACAAAGTGAAACGCTGCGTGAAGTTGGCGTCTCAGTTTGTTCTGAGGCATTTTCGTTGGTTTAATGGCCAGAACTATTTGTTTAAACTATCAAGAACTCTAGAACTATTGAAAATAAAGCCGGAACTCTTAATTATTTGTGAGTTTCCGCGAAATGATACGCCAGCTTCATACACACCATTTTAATGTCATCTTTATTTTTGCTTTTTCCTCAAATGTTTCTTTCATTTTTCACAGATTTTTCATCATTTTTCTCGATTATCTAAAAAACTGAATCCGATCAAAACGGCTTACGAATTCGGATTCAGTGACCCAAAATCTATAAGAAACACCTACTCTAGTTTGTTTATTTTCAAAAATTTTTTTTTTGTGGCTTGTGCTATCAGCGTATATATACCATACATACATCTGGCGTGTATCTCGTAAAAAAATGTACAATGCTGCCCCTAAAATAAATTCTTTACAATTTGTAGATATTCTTTTGATTATTCAAGAGAATCAGGATTCTCTTACATGCATAAAATTTACATTGTTAGGACGTTTATTGCAAATAAATTCGGTAAATCTATTTCAATAATTTTTTAAAAATTACAAATACACGTCTAATGCATAACTAATGCATATCTTGAGACATTTGATAAAATTATAAAATTAAATCAACCAAATAATCTGTAAATAAAATTAGCGTTAATAATTTTGAACATGTAAAATTTTTAATACTTTTAAATTGCTGATTAATAAATTTTTTAAGAAATTTTAGTTTATTTAATATCAAATCTTCTAAAAAATGTTTATGACTTTATTGACAATGAGTATGATTTTCATTAATCTTCCTTTCTTCTTTTTGTTGATACATCAGAATTATATCGCTATTAATAAAAGTATATCAAATCACGTTATTAAAAATATATTAAAAATAAGTTTTTGAAACAATATTAAGTTATTTAGAGAAACTTAATCGGTATCATTAATATTACACATCATGCATAATACTGATTAAACAAGAACGCTTTTGTAGATCACTATGCTCGAGCAGAGTTCACTCGAGTTCAGATATTAGCCATGCTATAAGTTACAGACTACATGTGTTGATACCGATCAGTTTGTTGCTTACTTTACACCTCGCGGCGATAAAGATAAATATGATCGTGCCCTCACGTAGCCTGAACGCAGCTGGACCAAAATGCGAATATACTGCTCAATCAACACTTCTCACCTATCACGTGAGCGTCCAAATTGAAGTTTGCATGCAACGAAGCGCCTAACTACTAGTGCCTCGTTATCAATAAAATCAAGCAATTAATCAGCAATTTAAAAGTATTAAGAACTCTACATGTTTTCAAAATTATTAACGCTAATTTTATTTAAAGATTATTTGGTTGATTTTATTCTGTAATTTTATCAAATGTCTTGAGATATGCATTTGTATATGACGTGTATTTGCAATTTTAAAAAATTATTTGAAATAGATTTATCGAATTTATTTGTAATAAACATCCTAACAATGTAGATTCTATGTGAGAGAATCTTGATTTTCTTGAATAATCAAAAGAATATCTATAAAAGAGTTTGTTTAAGGGGCAGTATTGTACATTTGTTTACGAGATGCACGCCAGACATACATACACGTTGATAATTAGTGATGGGGATGGCTCGGCTATTTTTATGTGCGAGTAAAAAGTAATGTTACCTCGGACAGAAGAACAATTGTATGAATTTCAATAAATTCCAAACCACTTGTATTGATGTCTCATATCCCATTAAAAATCTACAAATCCATGTTTATATTTGTACTCGAAATTGTATTCAAACTTGTTGCATAATTATTTGCTTATGAGTTATTTTAGTATTATTTTTATTGCTTTCATATGTGTGATTTGTAATTCTTGCAAAATTGACAACGTGAAAAAATATAAAATATAGCCAAAGAATATGAAATACAAAGTGCAAGTACATACGAACGTCGTGGATAATAAGCCAAACAAACCGTGTGTCGATTAATGATAACCAAATTCTGATTTTATATAATTAAATATATTTTATCTAGTGTGACTTGTCCATTAACGATTTTATAATTTTTGTTTATGACGCGCTACAAAATAAGCTACACGAATAATTTTATTATTTATCATTATGGCTTATATATCTTTCAGCATTTATTAATTATAGTTTAACAGTTTATGTCTCGATGATCATTAAATTATTGAACGATAAAATTTAAAATTAAGCGATATTAGATCGATCAATGTGTTTTGAATGATTAGTCAATATCTTGAGTTTTCTTATTACATTTTAATCAAAATTCCATGCAGCGATAGTTGC